CGGGTGAATTTGGCCGCAAATTGAGGGCCCCGATCGGACACTATTTTGGTCGGCAGTCCATGTCGATTGAAAACGTTGTTTTGGAAAAGCACGGTTGTTTCTTCTGCCGTGATCGTTTTCTTGCATGGGGTGATGACTATGCCTTTTGACAGACCTTGATCCACTACCACGTTAATTGAGTCGAAACCTTTGCTTTCGGGTAGGTCCGTGACGAAATCTGTCGAGATGAATCGCCAGGGAACGTTGGTGGTTTCCAGAGGGTGGATAGGTGGGTGTGTCCTGTGTGTCAAATTCTTCGTAGATTGGCATACGGCACATCCATCCACATATTCGTGGACGAATTTAGTCATGTTTTGCCACCAGTAGTGTCGTTGCACCATTTCCAATGTTTTTGCTCTACCCGGGTGTCCTACCGCGGGTGCATCATGATGTGTTTTGACGATGAGTCTTCGGATGACGTCGTCTTTGGGGACGCATATATGGCCGTTGCGTCTGGTGATTCCGTCTTCATATGTCCAATGTCCCAATAATCCTCTCATCCCTTGTGGTCCTACTCGTAAGAGCTTTGCGAGGGCTACCCTCGTTAAGGCATCATGTTCCGATTTCGAGTGTCGGATGAGGGAAATGAGGTTTGAGGAGGCGATTTCCGTGGACTTTATATGCCGTGTCGGGGATGGTTCTACCAATGTTTCGTCGGATTTGTTGAAAAGCTTGGCCGGGAGTAAAATTTGAGATTTGTTGTCAGATTCTACCCCCTCACTTAGGTCTGGACGCCTGGACAGAGCATCGGAGTGATTTGTTGATCCTGCTTTATAGCTGAGTGTAAAGTCGAATCTGCTCAAATAAAGGCTCCAACGGGCGTGTCGTCGTGATAGGTCTCGCGCCGTTTGGAAATGTTCCAGGTTTTTGTGATCTGTCCAAATCTCGAAGGGATGTCGTGCTCCTTCGAGGTAGTGATTCCAGTGTTCCAACGCCTTTATTATAGCCAAGAGTTCCCGGTCGTGAACATCGTAATTCCGTTCTGCTGGTGAAAATGATCCAGAGAGGAAAGCGACTGGGTGCCAGTCGCCATCTTTTCCTTGTTGTAGAAGGGTAGCTCCATAGGCGATTAGTGATGCGTCCGTTACTAATCGATATGGGTGCATGGGATCTGGGTAGTTCAAGACAGGTTTACTAATAAAAGCTTTCTTTAACCGTTCGAAAGCTTCCTGGCATTTTGCAGTCCAGTTCCATTTCTCGTCCTTTTTGGTAAGGTCGTGTAGGGGGCGCGCGATGAGTGAGAATTTGTCAATGAAGCGCCTGTAAAAGTTCCCTAGGCCCAAGAAGGAGCGAATGTCGCGGACTGTGCGTGGGATTGGCCAATCTTTTATTGCGTCCACCTTTGAGTCCTCCATGGCGACATGGTCTTTTGAAATTGTATATCCCAGATATTGGAGCTTTTCCTTGTAAAACTCACATTTTTCGGGTTTCAAATATAGATCGTTGTCGCGTAGGATTTGGAAAACTTGGTTTAGGATTTTAACATGTTCCGCCATGGTTTTGGAGAAGACGAGGATGTCGTCCATATATACGGTTATCTTCCGGGCTGTGATGAGCTCCCTGAAGATCATGTTCATCATAGCTTGGAAGGTGGCTGGCGAGTTGGTTAGGCCGAAGAACATCACCGTTGGTTCGTAAGAACCTAACGGGGTGATGAAACTCGCCTTCCACTCATCTCCCTTTTTGATGCGTATATTGTTGTATCCCCATCGCACATCCAATTTGCTAAAAATGATGGCCCCTTTTATCACGTCCAGTAGTTCTTGGATTAGTGGAAGGGGGCACACATTCGGGATGGTGTGCGAATTCAAATGGCGATAGTCCTGTACCGGGCGTAGTTTTCCATCTTTTTTTCCTATAAAGAAAAATGGGGCTGCTGTTTGCGAGGTGGATCGACGGATAGTTCCTCTTTCCAGATGTTCCTTGATGAATTTTCCTAATTCATCGTGTTTTTCTGGGCTCAGGGCGTAGATTTTGGGCACTTGAGGTTTGAAGGTTGGTTTTAAGTCAATGGCATGATCCCAGTAAGTGTGTTCTGGGAGTCGCTGCGACTTTCGTTCGCTGAAGATGTCCAAAAATTCGTGATGCGCCTTGGGAACTCTTTCCTTTAGATTGGTGACGATGATTTCGTCTTCCAGGTCTTGGTCGAAGCTGGCAAATCCTGACGGTTCGGGGGCCAGTTTCCGAATAACTGGGTCCCGGGTGGCCTGTTTTCCTGAGGGTTTGTTTGGGAGATCAGGTTCTCCCTCGTTTGGTGAAAGAGATGGCTCGTCTTGCGCCTTTCGTTTCTCTTCTGCGTATTTCCTTATGTCCTTTAGGAGCCATTTCCTTTTGAGGTATGCTCGTAGTCGGACACCAAACGTTCCGCTATGGTCGCGGAGTCCTACATCTTCCGATAGTCTTCGGAGATGTTCTAGGCGCTGTTTTTCGCGCTCATTGATGCGTGGTTTGTGCCGTGGCTCCACGTCTGATAACCGCCTACTGTATGGCGGTTCTTCCCTTGCCCTGGTGAACCCATATGGTTGCTGGCATTTCTGGGGGCACCGATCAAAGTGCACTTCACGTCGCCTCCATTCGATGGAGGGATCGTGGTATTTCAGCCAATCTGTTCCCAGGATAAGGTCGTCTTTCCCTAGATTGGAGATAAACATCTGGACGCGCTCAGTATGCGTTCGTCCACTGATGTCCCGAATGGTGAGGTTCACGTCCAAGGCGGATCGGATGAGACCTGCTTTATTGATGGTGTCATCGACATTCCGGACGCGAATGGGGTTGTTGAGTGTGTAGGTGGGGAAACGATGTCTTTTGACCCAAGTTTCGTTTACTATAACCCCTTCGCATGCCGAGTCGATGGTTGCCTTTGCTCCAGCGTTTTGACTCCTGTTTGATACTTTCACGTTCAGGCGTATGGGGGTGATGATACGGTCGTTCATTGCTCCGATACGAATACAAGTGCGGGCATCAAACTCGGGTCGTCCTTGACCTCTCTCCTTTGCTGGCGAGGGAGAGGTCAGGAAAAACGCTCCGCGTGTCCCAAGATTACTTCTCTGGCTTCATCTTCTCCTAATTCTCCGAGCACTGCTCCGATTCGAGCAGAATGACTGACGCTTCCGTCTCCCCGTCGTCCGTTAGGTAGCATAGTGCGCTGCCCATGGTTCGTCTGGGGTCGTCCGGATGGGGTAGAGTGAGGACGTTCCATCGAAGAACCAGGTTGTGGTACCCGCTGGTTGTTGCGATGAACATTCTCTGTCTCCATTCCTCGATATATTCCCGCTTGGTCTCCCATAGCGGATGCGTCGTCTTCTCCTTCAAGATCGACCGCGCGGTTTCCTCTCCCTGTCGTACCCAAGCGTCTCTTCGAGTTTCCTCGAACTGGTGGAACGCCTCTGCGGGCCGACCAGCAGTTAGCGCTAGAATGTCCTATTTTTCCACAATTTGAACAAGAGGTGGCTCGCTTGCCATCATATTTCCGTTTTTGGCTAAGGGCATTGCGCTTGCGTGTTGCGTCAATGTCCATGTCAACAACTTGGTTGTTCATTCTGCGAGGGGCGTTTGTGGAGTTGTAGCGGGGAGAGATTTGGTTATGAAAACGATTCAGATAATCGCTTCGAAAGGAGGTGGAGTTGGCGAGGATGGCCTTTTGAGCTGTTCTGGCTCGAAGTCGTCCATCTATTTCGCAGGCTGTATTGATCCAGTCCTGAATCGTATCCTTTGGCTGAACTTCCTTGTCGTATATTTTGTCCATGACGCGCGGGTCTAGCCCGCGTTGGAAGTAAGGGACTTGCTCTTTATCGGAGATGTCGGCATCGGCGGCGATGAGAATGAATTGGTTGGAGTATTCATCAACCGTCATTCGTCCTTGGGAGAAGGCCATAAGTGCGCTTCGCGCCTTGTCGGTCTTGCCCGTCTCCCTGAACTGTAATTTGAACTTGGCTAAAAAGTCCTTCCAGGTGCCTAGATCGGTAGGTGGGTCTGCTCCTACTGATTTGAGGAGGAAGTTCTCCGCCCAAGCTCCCGCCGTGCCGTATCTCATGCATGAGAGCACAAGGGATATCTTGTCTTGATCGGTCTTGTACCGATCGGATTCTGCTGCGAAAAGAAGGAGGCATTGGAGCATGAATTTCTGGGATTCAATGCGGTCGCCTGTGTAGTTGTCTGGGAGTTTGACTTTTCCTCTTCCGGGTTGTACTGTCGCGGAAGGGGTGTTTGTAGAAGTCGAAGCCTGTCCCGACATTTCGGCGAGTGGTTCGTTTCGGGTGTTGATCGGTGTTTGGTCTGGTGAGTCGGAGTCTGATTCCGAGGTTGTTTCCTCTTGCTCCGAGTCTTCGGGGATTACCGGCGCCGGTTCCCTGTATTGTGGGGCTAGTTCCCACTGAGCTTCTGTTTCGTTCCAAATATCCTCTTCTACTGTTCCGTCTTCAAGTGTGAAGTAATAACGCCCGTTTCGGTATGAGCAGTTATCGTAATTCGGAGGGGCAGTTCCGTTGTTGTCTTCGTAGACCCAGAAGTCCCCTTCGCGCCGGATAGGGCGATTGTTGTGACGGAGTTGGTTATTGATAAGTCTAGTGCCGGGTGGGTATTCCTGGCCTAGGTCTTGCTCCAGAGTGTGTGCAGTAACGCTCTCTCAATGGGGGTCTATATCCCCACTGAGCAAGGTTATGAGAGAGAGTGTGGCAGCAAGCTAGTGCGAGCAAGGTAGGGGCAGAAGAGTCTATTCTAGTGTTACGACTGCTCGTCGGTAACCCCAAGAGTAGGAGGTTCTTCCCTAGGTCACTCGTGGAGGATGTGTGGAACGGTGGTCTCGACTGTACGTGTAGCACAGGAGCCAGAAGTGTATTGCGATGTAGCAATGAAGACTGTAGTGGGAAGACTACAGTGGACGAAGGGGTACTGTAGGAGGACAGTACCAGAACGAAGAGAATAGACTGAAGATCCTCAGCCTATTCTATGGGCCTTTTATACTACTTTGGGAAGTAGGGCGTGAGAATACCGAATATGTATCTGTAGGTATTCTCTAAGTCGTCTCTCTCAATAACGACTACTCTTGTGCTTCTCCGTTGGTCTCCTTCCGGCCAGGAGAGACTAGGAGGTTCATGCCCTGCGTGTGAGTAATTTATAAGGCGGCGTTCCATGCCCGCTAATACAATAGGCCCGTGATACTCGACCAACGATAAGGTGATCCGTTGGGAGTGGATGACCAAGGTTAATATCTGTACCTTGGTGTACGCCTCAACCTGTGAGGCCGCGTGATATTTGTGATGATCGTGTCGGTATAGACCGCCGTTAAGGCCCGACAGAACGTGATCATAACAGGCACGTCTTGCCCACGCGCCGAACGGTCGAAAACAGCCTGTCGGGCGTCAGCAGCCAGCAGAAAACGAGAGGAAGGACTGACTCACCACCCGTTTGGCGAACCCTTGCCCCCAGACCTCGTAATCCTCATACTCGGCAGCGCCGTCCGGGAGGGAGAGCATGTAGTCGGCGAGTTTCGCCTTCAGGACAGAGATAAGGGACGACATGAGAGACGAAGAGGCAGGAAGGAAGGCGATGAGGGACTTAGTCGCTGGAGAATCAACGATCATCAGGATTGTGGTCACCTGACAAAGCCCCGTGCCGCTGCGTTCGGCAGAAGCCGCGATACGCGCCACCGCTCTTTGCCGACACGACTCTCACGCCAGCGTCTAGTTGGGGCACTCTAGGTCTCAGCCACTGCCTCACCTAATCAGTTACCACGCCACAGGACTTTGCCAACTCAGCCCCGGTCTCTCTTGCGCGCCGACCCGGTCCTTTCTACGACATCTCCTTGCCGATTATTCACCTGTGCCACATCTCTCCCACGCACCCATTCCTTGCCACGCCACCGCTCATTGCCGATCCTTTTCCCACGTAACTTGCCACGCCACCACATTTTCCACGCCAATTTTTTTCCCGCTCCGACTCATAGCCGCCGACCACTGACTGGGGACAGTCAGGATTTCAGTAGGGAGGAGATGATGAGCATGCACCCGCGCTAGGGTCCGAGGGAGGGATTCGGGAAGCTTTGGGGAAATACCGAACAGTGCTAGACAAGTACCGAAGTCGCCGACTTTTACCGAACACGGTCGGTCCCTACCCGACCGACGACAAGCCACCGAAGGACGATTCGGCAGCACTTGGGTCAGTTCGCCCACACTTCACGTACTTACCATGACCGCACAGGAGGGTTACGATAGGTGTGTACGAGATCGGAGCCAGTATTCCGTATCGGCCGATGTCCTCCGTGAGTCGGTCGGTCCTTATCGCTTATCGTCCCGACTTCCGCATGGTCGGTCAAACACGATCTTACACCATTGCTTGGCCACCCTGGTCGTACGATACCTCTTCTTTATTTTTCATTGGTTCTCCAACGCCTGTTCCTGCTACCTACACTCGGGCGACGGATCCCGAACGTTCGGGATTTCGACATCACTGATTACCTTTTACCTTATCACCTTCGGAACCCATATGGACATCTCACCTACCTCCTTATCTTCTCTGATCGCTAAGGCTTGGCGCCCATTCGACATCTACTCTCATTTCAGGTTCGATATTTTACTTAGGGGCGCTGTTTACTATAAAAACCTACATACAACTCTGGAATAAACCAGCTTTCGCACCCCACAGTTCAGAGCTCATTCGCACTCGTCTCAACCATCGAAATCGTCTTCATCGACTCCCGAAAACTTGTCATCTTCGTCGTTCGGCCTTGTTCGCGTTCGTACTCGTCTCTTCGCTCGTACCCCTCGTCCTTCCTCGTATATTGTCAGAGTCCCGTGTGGCTCTTGAAGCACGTAGTTGTCGGTCGCGACACTACCTCCTCGTTACCGACCGAATCGCCGACACGACCGACCGAACGTTCGGTCGGTGTTCGGTGCAGTCCCGAAACCGTTCGGGCGCTATAATCTCCACTCCTCGCTGCTTCTCAAGTGCGCCGTCGATTTCTAAAGTCATCACTAACGATTCCTTGTGTAACAGAAACTAGCTCCAGCACCCCCTGCATTAGAGGTTGTTTTAGTGTTGTGCTCGGCACTTAGAGCCACCTCTAGCGTATCACCGATCTCCCACATGAAAACTCAGGAAAACAGGCCATAGAGGAACCAGTTATTCGGAAACTGGCTCCCAAACCGTCAGGATTTGCCAGCTTCGACCAGGACTTGGAAGATGAAATCGTCGTCACCAATCTAAAGGAAAGAGTCCCCAAGGCGCATCACAAATTTTTGGACATTTTCAGTGAACGAAAGTCGCAGCGACTCCCAAAGCACACTTATTGGGATCACGCCATAGATCTGAAACCGACCTTCAAACCTCAAGTACCAAAAATCTACGCCTTGAGCCCAGAGAAACACGACGAATTAGGAAAATTCATCAAGGAACACCTCACTCGGGGGACCATCCGTCGATCCACCTCACAAACGGCAGCCCCATTTTTCTTTATAGGAAAGAAAGATGGAAAACTGCGCCCGGTACAGGACTATCGCCATTTGAACTCGTACACCATCCCAAATGTGTGCCCCCTTCCACTAATCCAAGAACTATTGGACGTGATCAAAGGGGCCACCATTTTCAGCAAATTGGATGTACGGTGGGGATACAACAATATACGAATCAAGAAGGGCGACGAGTGGAAGGCAGCTTTCATCACTCCGCTGGGCTCTTACGAACCCACGGTGATGTTCTTCGGCCTTACCAACTCACCAGCCACCTTCCAAGCCATGATGAACATGATCTTCAGAGAGCTCATCACGGCCCGGAAAATAACCGTATATATGGACGACATCCTCATCTTTTCCAAAAACATGGCGGAACACATCCAGGTCCTGAACCAAGTTTTCCAGATCTTGCGCGACAACGACCTCTATCTGAAGCCAGAAAAGTGCGAGTTTTATAAAGAAAAACTCCAATATCTGGGATACACAATTTCAAAAGACCACGTCGCAATGGAAGACTCAAAAGTGGACGCTATACAAGATTGGCCAGTCCCACGCACCGTCCGAGACATTCGCTCCTTTTTAGGTCTAGGAAACTTTTACAGGCGTTTCATCGATAAGTTCTCCCTTATCGCACGACCTCTGCACGACCTCACCAAAAAGGATGCAAAATGGAACTGGACTTCGAAGTGCCAGGAAGCCTTCGAATGATTAAAAAGGGCATTTATCAGCAAACCCGTTCTGAACTACCCGGACCCCATGCATCCATATCGACTAGTAACGGACACCTCACTAATCGCTTACGGAGCCACCCTCCTGCAAGAAGGAAAAGATGGCGACTGGCACCCAGTCACATTCCTTTCCGGGTCATTTTCACCAGCAGAACGGAACTACGACGTCCACGATCGCGAACTCCTGGCCATCATAAAAGCGTTGGAACACTGGAATCACTACCTCGAAGGTGCACGACACTCATTCGAGATCTGGACAGATCACAAGAACCTGGAACACTTCCAAACGGCGCGAGATCTCTCACGACGACACGCCCGTTGGAGCCTTTATTTGAGCAGATTCGACTTCATGCTCAGCTATAAAGCGGGATCAACAAATCATTCCGATGCTCTGTCCAGGCGTCCAGATCTAAGTGAGGGGGTGGAATCTGACAACAAAGCTCAAATTTTGCTCCCGTCCAACCTTTTTAACAAATCCGACGACACGCTGGTAGAACCGTCCCCAACACGACATATCAAGTCCACAGAAATTGCATCCTCGGACCTCATCTCCCTCATCCGACGCTCAAAATCGGAACATGATGCCCTGACAAGGGTAGCCCTCGCCAAGCTCTTGCGAGTAGGGCCACAAGGAATGAGAGGATTACTAGGACACTGGACACACGAAGACGGAATCACCAGACGAAATGGCCACATATGTGTCCCAAAAGACGATGCCATACGAAGACTTATTGTCAAAACGCATCACGACGCACCCGCGGTAGGACACCCGGGGAGAACAAAAACGTTGGAAATGGTACAACGATACTACTGGTGGCAAAACATGACAAGGTTCATCCATGAATACGTGGACGGATGTGCGATATGCCAATCAACCAAGAATCTGATACACAAGACGCACCCTCCTATCCACCCTTTGGAAACCACCAACGTCCCCTGGCGTTTCATCTCGACAGACTTCGTCACGGACCTACCCGAAAGCAAGGGTTTCGACTCAATCAACGTGGTAGTGGACCAAGGTCTGTCCAAAGGCATAGTCATCACCCCATGCAAGAAAACGATCACGGCAGAAGAAACAACCGTGCTTTTCCAGAACAACGTTTTCAGTCGACATGGGTTGCCGACCAAAATAGTATCCGATCGCGGCCCTCAATTTGCGGCCAAGTTCACCCGAGAACTCTGGAAACGGCTAGGAATCACCGCCGCTCTCAGCACGGCTTATCATCCCCAGACGGACGGAGAAACAGAACGAGTAAACCAGGAGATTGAACAGTTCCTGAGAACGTTCTGCAACTACCACCAAGATAACTGGGTAGACCTTTTGCCGTTTGCCGAATTCTCGCACAACACGCGGAAACATTCAACCACCGGAAAATCTCCTTTCGAAGTGCTATATGGGTTCAATCCCCCTTATTCAGCCGACACTGCGCTGGAGACAAAGGTACCTGCGGTAGCTGAACGCATTAAGGTGATCACAGAAGTCCAGGAAGAAGCCGCAGCCAGCCTACAAATAGCCAGCAATTACGCCAAGGACCGGGATCTCCACAGGAAACTCCCTCAATGGAAAGAAGGAGACCAAGTATGGCTAGAAGGAACCTATATCCGGACAACCCATCCAAAGTTCAAGCTCGCCCCTAGGAGGTATGGCCCCTTTAAAATATTGGCAAAAATAGGAACCCTGGCATACAAACTTCAAATTCCCCAACAATGGAGAATCCACCCGGTGTTCCACGCCGCAACGCTAACCAAGTATAGGGAAACCGAGGCACACGGAGAAAACTTCGCCAGACCATTGCCGGAGATATTAAACGATGAAGAACATTATGAAGTAGAAATGATCGTGGACTCAAAGAAACAAGGACGGGGAACCAAATATTTGGTCAAATGGATGGGATATCCCGAGGCAGACAACACCTGGGAACCCTACACTCTCCTAAAAGGAACAGCGGAAGAAGCTATGAAGGAGTTTCATGACCAATACCCTGATAAACCTCGTCCGGGAGCTGTTAAGCCGGCTAGGCTTAGTCACGTGCACGTGATGCACTAAGAGGGGTTCCCTGGGCTAAAGCTGATTGTGATGGCCCAACGGATAAAGACGACAGCTCGTCTTTGGGCTTGTTCCAAGAAAGGCTGGTCTGTATTGATCTTCTCCTCGAAGAGTCGAAGGAGATGCTGATTGATCACGTGGCGGTGTTCGTCTGGTACGAACAAGTCCTCTCCGATACAACAGATGACTTCGGAGGGATCCCAACGGATGACTCGATATGCGGCGAGTCCTTGGTAGGTTGCAGGCGGTAGAGAATGATAAGAGCGATGAGACAAATCCAGTGCTTCGTCAGACTGAGTATGGTTCTTTAGATCTGACAGAGATCGCGAAGCGTGAGCTGAAGGTAGCCAGACGCCGGGCGCAGTGCTGAGATCAAGATGTATACAAAGTGAACGAGCTGAGGCTTCTGAGAAGCTCAGCTCTCCTATATATAGTACAGGGCTATTTAGGGTGGGGCGGACATATGGTCCGTGCTTCTAAACGCTAAGTACTATCAACGATCGATGCATGTAAGCCGCAGTCATTGTTCGTACTCCGTGGCTCTTCGATGTAACCATGTATAGTAAGTATATCAAATGTCTGTCCGCATCAATAAGCAATCAGGAACCGATCATGATCGGCATCAGTAAGCACAATAGAAAGGAGATCATAACAGGTAAGCGTTCATGCGTCAGCATGTAAATGATAAACAGCCCGAGTCCGAGTCATGTGCGTAGCTCATGACCATGTCCTGAGTCACGTGCCTAGACGCGTGTCAAGTCACAGTCCTAGTCGTTAACAGTTCGGGTCCAAAGAAACACCTGACTTCCCCTTCAGTCCACGTGCCAAGCACGTGTTAGGACGCGGTCCTAACACTACCCCCCCTTTTACACTCGTCGTTGGCTCGTGACGTTATCATGATCGAGGAGGGGGAGTGTCATGAAGTGGTCGGGGTCCATGACAGGGGCATGACGTGTCGGGTGCCCTTCCCAGTTGGCGTCGTCAATCATCCTGTTCCGAACGTGCCAGTAATACCCATAGTTCTCTGCCACATGGGCCAGCTGCGTTGAGAGGAGTTCGACGATCTCACCGTACGCATCGTAGTCGCGTATGAAATTACGCGCTGTGATGTCGGAACGATGGCGGATACGAGTGATGGGACAATTGGCAATGAGATGTCCCGGTCGATCGCATTCCCAGCAAAGTCGAGTATCAGTGGCTGGTGGTGGCAGGACGAGAGGAGGGGGAGAGGGTGAGGGGTCGAGGAGTGGGGGCCAGACTCGTTCCGAAGCGCGAGCACCGTTCTGCCAGTCGCTAGCCGGAGGAGAAGGCGAGTGGGCTGCGGCCCCTGTTCTTTCCACCTCACGAACATGGTTTATCCAGTCTGATGGTGATCCAGTTCGTGGCGATGATGCGTCCAATGAGCGATGCGCCTCGTGCTCTTGTGCTGCCTGTTCAGGGTTGTACGGCGGACTGCCAGGTCGAGAGATGGGTCGTCCTGTGTCATCGAAATCGGGGATGGGAGGGAGCCGGTTTCCGGGGAAGGGGTCGGCGTAAGGGTAAGGGAGGGCGTTGTGGATGTCGGTCATGGGGAGGTGTGAAAAGGGTTCCGGCACCGGGAGGGCGAGTGGGGACAAATGGTGGGTGCCGTTGAGGAGAGGGAAGAGCGTGGAGGAAGACATATCAAAGTAGAGGAAAGGTTTGGTGGGGAAGTTGGGGAGAGTTTTGGGTCTCGACAAGCGTTCCTTTATAGATTCCTTTCCTTCTTGTTTGAGCGAGTAAGGACGGTGGTGCAGTGTAGGTTCGAGCATCATAATGACAGCGTTCCAGGCGAGGATTGTGTTTTGGACTTTGTTTGTTGTGGTGGTTCCTGCTCGGATCACCGTCGTTTGTTTGGCCATGCCAAACCACGATTTGTCTGCCTTTGCAGTTCCTGGTATGCCTGAGTGCGCCAATTTGCGCTGTCTGAGGGTTTGCTCTGTGGCTTCGTCCACGACCGTTCCGAATAGGTCTTGCTTGGAGAAGTGTCCGTGGTTGCCTTCTGATTCCTGACGTGTGAGTCCGTTCGTTCCCGATTAGGGTTGCTCGATCGTTTGCTTGTAGTGGATGTCCGTGAGGATTCTTGATCGAGTTCCTTCATCTGTGCTTCTTGACGATCTGCTGATACTGTAGTCTGTCGCTTCGTCAATCGAGCGAATCGTTTGTTGACTTCTTCCATGATCCGAGGGATCGCCAATCCTGTGGATAGAAGTTTCTTCCCTATGGGGTGATTCTGGAGTTTCTCCTTGAGCTTGGCTTCCTTTTTTAGCTCCTCGTCTCGTTCCGCTGCTGCTTTCATAATTTCGGATGTTTCGAATCCTGCAGCAAGAAGTTTCTTCCCGATTGGGTGGCCTTGGAGTTTCTTCTTGATGCTTGCTTCTTTTAACGTCATTAGCTGGACGTCTGCGGCTTCTTTGATTTGGGATGGCTTGAATCCCCTGTCGATAAGTTCTTTCCCAATGAGTCGACCCGTGAGTTTCTTCCTGAATTGGTCGTTCTTGGACTTCTGATCCAGTTCTCGTGCTGCTTTCTGAATTTGTTGTATGCTGCATCCTTTATCCATAAGTTTTCTTCCGATGGGGAGTTCCAATAGCTTCCTCTTGATTTGATCCTCTTTGAGCCGATCGTTTAGTGCTTCTTTGATTTGGGGAATTCCCGCTCCTGTGGCGAGAAGCTTCTTTCCGATAGGATGCTTTCCGAGCTGCTTCTTGATCTGATCTTCTTCAACTGCTCGATTGTATTCCAGTTCGATCGTTAATGCTAAGATCGATGCTTCCATTCCTTTGACCGCGGAGGGATGTCGTTTATAGAACTCTGCGATGGCTTCCTTGGCATTGGTGACGTTTGCTGCTGATTCCCAAGAGTTATCCGATTCTGGATAGCCCTTCCATTTGATCAGGTACTGTAGAGTCTTCCATCTACCGAAGCGTCGAGCTCCGATGATCCTTTCGACTTCGAATTCTTCTTGCCCCGCTATCAGGTCTGGTGCTGGTTTGGGGTAGTTGGGTCCATATGTTGTATTCTCCTTGTAGGGCGTGAGTCGACTAGCATGGAAGACGTCGTGAATGCGCTGCCAGCTGTTGGGCAGTTTCAGCTTGAAATTGACTGTTCCGATAGTGTCAATGATCTCGAACGGCCCAAATCGTTTGGGTCTTAGTTTCTCCGAGGGGTGATCTGTGTGGATGTGCTTTCCGTCTAACCATACTTGGTCTCCTTTCTTGAAGGGCGGTAACTCCGTTCCAAAACGGTCATGCTGTATCCTCATGGCTTCGGCTGCGATTTCGAGGCTGGCTTGCGCTTCCTTCCTAGCACGTTGCAGAGCTTCAAGTCGCGCGTCGGCGGTGGGGACGTTCGTGTTTCCTATAATGGCTGGATACGCTCTTGGTTGGTATCCATGTAGAAGTTCGAATGGTGACTTCTTCGTGGCTGAGTGTTGGTGTACGTTATGGGCATATTCCGCATAGGGAATGAGGTCGGCCCAGTCGTCCTGTGACGAGTTGCAAAATGCTCTGAGATATTGCTCCAGTTCTTGGTTCATTCTTTCCGTGGCGCCATCTGTTTGTGGATGATATGCTGTGCTGAGCGCTGATTTGATTCCTAGTTCCTTGAGTAGCGCTTGTGCTACTTTTGACGCGAATTGTGTTCCTCTATCCGATATGATCTTGTCGGGTAGTCCATATCTTCTCCAGGTGTGGTCTAGTAATATTTGGGCAGTTCCGTCTGAGTCGATGTTCTTTAGACATGGGGTGATTATGGCTGCCTTCGTGAATCTGTCTGTTACCACATGGAGTGAGTCAAATCCTTTTGACTGGGGTAGATCTGTAATAAAATCCATAGTGATTGTTCCAAATGGTCGGTCTGGAATCTCCGTTGGTTGGAGAGGAACCATTGTCGGGTGTGTATCGTTTTTGGTAGACTGGCAGGTTGCGCATCCTTCCACGTATTGGTGGATTGTGTTCGATATTCCGGGCCAAGTGAATTCTTGTCCTACTGAGGCTAACGTCCCTCTTTGTCCTGGATGTCCTGCTGCTAGGTTGTCATGGTTCAACTTGATTATTTCTCTGCGTAGTTGTTCGTCTTGAGGAACATAGATTTTTCCTCTGTGTAGGACGAGTCCGTCTTCCTCGTTCCATTCCTGTAGGCCTTTCTTCATGCTTCTTGGGCCTAGTTCTTGGATTTTGGCTAAAGTCTCGATTAGCCACCTGTCCTTCTGGTTTGCTGCTATAATTCGATTTTTGAGGTCTTCGTCGATGATTGTGACGCCTCCTCTTCCTGTGGCTCTGATGTGCCATATCTCGTGGGGGTCTAGTTCTTCCTTCGTGGTAATTGCGTTTATGTTTGCAAAAGGTCTCCGCCCCTTTTCCTGTGTTTGATTGAAAAGTTTGGGTTCCAAGAGTGTTTCGCCTGAATTGTCAAATTCCACCCCCTCTTTATGGTCTGGACGCCGTGACAGACCGTCGGATTTATTGGTGACTCCCGCCTTGTGTGTTAACTTGTAGTCGAAACGCGAGAGGAATAACGACCATCTTGCTTGCCGACGGTTCAACTTTTGACTTGATCTGAACCATTCTAGGTTCTTGTGGTCCGTCCAGACATCTACTGGGTTCTCGGCGCCCTCCAAGTAATGTCGCCAAGCTTCAAAGGCTCGAACGACCGCTAGCAACTCTTTGTCATAGATAGGATAGTTGCGTTCTGTGGGTGAGAGTGATTTGGAAATATAGGCGCAAGGGTGCCATTTTCCATCTGGGGCGACTTGTGATAATACTGCTCCTGTGGCAAAATCTGATGCATCGCATTCGATGCGGAAGGGGTTCCTAGTTTCCGGCATGACTAGTACTGGGGTTGATACGAATATCTTCTTGAGTGCTTGGAATGCTTCTTCGCATGCTGCTGTCCAGTCCCAGCTATGTTCCTTCTGTGTTAACTCGAATAGCGGTGATACGCTAGAGGTGGCTCTAAGTGCCGAGCACAACACTAAAACAACCTCTAATGCAGGGGGTGCTGGAGCTAGTTTCTGTTACACAAGGAATCGTTAGTGATGACTTTAGAAATCGACGGCGCACTTGAGAAGCAGCGAGGAGTGGAGATTATAGCGCCCGAACGGTTTCGGGACTGCACCGAACACCGACCGAACGTTCGGTCGGTCGTGTCGGCGATTCGGTCGGTAACGAGGAGGTAGTGTCGCGACCGACAACTACGTGCTTCAAGAGCCACACGGGACTCTGACAATATACGAGGGAGGATGGGGGGTACGAGCGAAGTGACGAGTACGAACGCGAATGAGGCCAAACGACGAGGATGACAAGTTTTCGGGAGTCGATGAAGACGATTTCGATGGTTGAGACGAGTGCGAATGAGCTCTGAACTGTGGGGTGCGAAAGCTGGTTTATTCCAGAGTTGTATGTAGGTTTTTATAGTAAACAGAGCCTCTAAGTAAAATATTAAACAAGAAATGAGAGTAGATGTCGAATGGGCGCCAAGCCTTAGCGATCAGAGAAGATAAGAAGGTAGGTGAGATGTCCATATGGGTTCCGAAGGTGATAAGGTAAAAGTTAATCAGCGATGGCGAAATCCCGAACGTTCGGGATCCATCGCCCGAGCGTAGGTAGACGGAACAGGCGTTGGAGAACCAATGAAAAATAAAGAAGAGGTATCGTACGACCAGGGTGGCCAAGTAATGGTGCAAGATCGTGTTTGACCGACCATGCAGAAGTCGGGAAGATAAACGATAAGGACCGACCGACTCACGGAGGACATCGGCCGATACGGAATACTGGCTCCGATCTCGTACACACCTATCGTAACCCTCCTGTGCGGTCATGGTAAGTACGTGAAGTGTGGGCGAACTGACCCAAGTGCTGCCGAATCGTCCTTCGGTGGCTTGTCGTCGGTCGGGTAGGGACCGACCGTGTTCGGTAAAAGTCGGCGACTTCGGTACTTGTCTAGCACTGTTCGGTATTTCCCCAAAGCTTCCCGAATCCCTCCCTCGGACCCTAGCGCGGGTGCATGCTCATCAGCGGCCTAGCTATCTTCGAGTAATCCTTGATAAATCTGCGATAAAAGTTGCAGAATCCTAAAAATGATTGGACCTCCTTGACTTTGGTCGGTGTGGGCCAGTCCGTGATACCGGCCACCTTGATTGGGTCCATTTCCAGATGTCCATGGGATATAACGTATCCCAGATAGTCGATTTTCTTTTTATGAAAATGACACTTCGAGGGTTGCAGGTATAAGTCGTTATCCTGCAATATCTGTAAAACCTGTTTCATTGTCTTGATGTGTTTGTCCATAGTCTTTGAGAACACCAAAATATCGTCCATATAAATGGCCACTCTTCCTTTATAAATGAGGTCCTTGAAGAGCGAGTTCATCATGGTTTGGAATGTCGCCGGCGAGTTGGTGAGTCCAAAGTACATGACCAGTGGTTCGTACATTCCTAGATTTGTTACAAATGCTGCCTTGTGGACATCCTTTTCATCGATGAGTACGTTGTTGTATCCTGTGTCGATGTCTACCAGCGAAAAGTATTCCGCCTCCGTCAAGAGATCCAGTAGTTCTTGAATAATTGGTAGAGGGTACTTGTTCTTGATTGTTATTTCGTTAAGCTTCCGGTAGTCCATTACCGGCCGTAGTTTTCCATTTTTCTTCTTGATAAAGAAGAATGGTGATGCCATGTGCGATTTGGATTCTCTAATGAATCCTTTCTTGAGACTGTCGTTTATGAATTTCTTGAGCTCTTCTTGCTCCATTGGACTGAGGCTATAAAGTTTTGGCCTAAGCGAGTGTTCCAAATTGTCTTTGAGTTCTATCCTGTGATCCCATGGTCGTTTGGGAGGTAGTTTCCCAGGTTTTCGTCCTTCAAAAACCTTCCTATAATTCCAGTACTCTTTGGGTACGATTTCCTCGAAGGATAGTTCAGGTTTTCCTTTCGAGGCTTCTTCTGCCAATTTCTGCGAATTGGTGTGCTTTGTTTGTTTGCCTACCGCTGCTTTGGTAGGTTCCGCTTTACGTGCCGGTGTATTGGCGGTGGAGGTTTCCATGCAATGGATGTCGTATCCTTCTTCGCTGTCGTTGTATAATTCCAGGGCTTCTAGCTGCCCAGTATCCAGGCATCTGACGAGGTATACTCCATCTTCGTCTAGATCCGTAGAAGGTAGAGCCGATAGTGGTCCACCACCTTCTTGAGTCTCCTCTTCGGCCCACGTTGGTGCCGTGTAATGTTTGGCTTGGGTCCTGAGGTAGTACTCCAGTTTCGTTCCTTTGGGTTGCGAGCCCCGGATTTTAGGTATTATCCGCGGATGTGGTACTGTAGTGTTTCCCACTTTCCGGCCTAGCTGTCCTTTCCCTGGCTTCTGCAATGGGATTGAGTAGTCACGCTCTCGTGGTACTATCACCATGCGCCGTATTTCTGGTTCCTGACGTCCTGATTTCCTAAAGGCCCTTTTTGCCTTGACTGGTCCTCCTGTGATTTTGCAGGACGGTGGGCACCTAGTAAAGTGTAATCCATATGCGTGCCAATCGACTTCTGGGTTGTGTTCCAACAACCAGTCGGTTCCTAAAATGACGTCTTCTTTCCCGATTTCGGCTATATAGAATTTTGCTGATTCGGTGTGTGTTCCCCCTTGTTCGCCTAGAACTTGTAGTTTTAGTTCTGCGAATCTCGTGATCGGTCCTCCTTTAAATTCCGTGTTTTGGACCGTATTGACTGGAATGGGGTGGGGTGTTTTTCTCGTGTAGATTCGATGCTTTTCCACGAATTTGGGATGCATGAATATTCCT